ACTCAACACCTCCAAGGTTCCAAAAGAACTCAACACCTCCACGGCTTCGAAAGAGCTCAACGCCTCCACCCCCAGCATCATCAGCAGCTGCCACATCTTCATCAGCGCCATCAGCATATACAGCACCACCAGCAGCAGTGGATACAGCAGCAGCAGTGGCTGCTTCATCATCTTCAGCAGCAGCAGTGGCTGCTCCATCATCTTCAGCAGCAGCAGTGGATACAGCAGCAGCAGTGGCTGCTCCATCATCTTCAGCAGCAGCAGTGGATACAGCCGCAGCAGTGGCTGCTCCATCATCTTCAGCAGCAGCAGTGGCTGCTCCATCATCTTCAGCAGCAGCAGTGGATACAGCAGCAGCAGTGGCTGCTCCATCATCTTCAGCAGCACCTTCCCCACCTACAGCTCCCGTGAAGCTTCCCCCATTACTCCAGGCTACAGTCAGGCCTGTACTGGGGGTTCCTCAACCACCTCTGTCTCCACCAAAGACTCCCTCATCACCTTCCATGGACCCGGCTTGGGTCCCCCCCGCTACATCCACTCCATCTAGGGAAAATGAGGACGACCTTTCTCTTTGTTTTCTATCCCCGCCTTCACTACTGGATTTACCAGAACACTCTGCAGGCATGATAAGATCGGCGATGAAGACTATTCCTCTCACACCCACTGTAGCCAGATCAAGAGTCCTATCTAACATTCAAAACTACTCCCCATACGTACCTCCAAAGCCACCTAGGGCGTCCAACTCAAATTCTCCCACAAAATCCACCCGTCCCTCCTCTAACCCCATAAGTATTCCACCCCCCCCTCCTGCTCATTTAGCCCCCCTCCCCCCCCCTAACTCAGCACCAAGAAACCCTCCACCTCCACTCCCCCCTCGTCCACCACCCAACTCAGCCTGCCCCTCCCCTAACCCATCACCAAAAACCCATCCACCTTCAACCCCTCCCCGTCCAACTCCCAAGAACCACCCGCCTCTCCATCCTCCTCCCCCGCCTTCCCCTACCCCTCTTTTCTCTAAACACTAGGATGCACAGGGTCTCTGCTTCGCAGCCACTGGCAGTCTAGTTAGAGGAGAGACCCGGCTGGGGCCCTGTCGTGAAGCCACCTGTGCCATTCCCTTAGTGATAACACAAAGAATACATAACAGAAAAACATCTGGAGTTAATCAGTCTAATCAGGAAAATCTAATTCTTGTTCCGTGTAAGAATCAGCCGACCACAACCGCTGATCCTGAAACTTTGAAACTTGCTATGCTAAATGTCAGATCTCTTTGTAACAAGTCTTTTTTAATCAATAATTTTATTTGTTCTTATAATCTAGATCTTATGTTCATGGCTGAAACATGGCTTGACCAAAATACAGAAAATGCAGTTTTAATAGAAGCATCACCACCAAATTTCAAATTTGAATCTGAAATACGGGAAAACAAAAAAGGAGGAGGCTTAGCTGCCATTTTCAGAGACCACTTTGTCTCCCATAGAATGTCTCTTGGGAAGTTTCCGTCTTTTGAATATGTGTCTTTTAAAATACAACAAAAACAATCTCCTCCAATACTTTTCGTTGTCCTATACAAGCCACCGCAGTCATGTCACAGTTTTATTGATAATTTTACAGAGTTGCTTTCAGTTGTATGCACAGATTTTGATAGTTTAGTTATTACAGGTGATTTTAATATTCATGTGGATAATGTTGATGACAGAAATGCTAAAGAGCTGAGTTCTCTTCTTGAATCTTTTGGTCTCACTCAGCATGTGAGTGGCCCCACCCACAGCAAAGGGCACACTCTAGACCTGTTAGTTACAAAGGGGGCGAACATATATAATGTAAACGTGGTCGATGTTGCGCTTTCGGATCATTTTTGTATATTTTTTGACATGTGTTTCACTAACAAACCACCAGTGGACTCTGCAACTGTACGAAGAAGACACATAAATGAAAATACGGGTGAACTATTTATGGGAATGATAAACTTTGAGAATGCATCGTATTCTACTGTAGATGAACTGTTTAACTCTGTCACCTCTAGTGTTTTGAAAGTTCTGGACACCATCGCTCCTGTGAAGGTTAAAATAGTGAAAAATAAGCAGAAGGCGCCGTGGGCTAAAGCAGACCCGGTCAGAGCACAAAAGAGAGAGTGCCGGAGGGCCGAGCGGAAGTGGCGCAAGTCCAACCTCCAGGTTGATTACAAGATCTTCAAAGATAAGTTGTGCGAGTTTAACCAGGTGCTACGTAGTACAAGAGAAAGGTATTTTTCTGAAATGATTGAAGGCTGCAGCAACAATCTGCGTGTTCTGTTTTCAACAGTTAATAGATTAACAAACCCCCCTGTTCAAATGCCATTAGAGCTAACTTCCAAACGTAAATGTAATGAGTTTGCACATTTTTTCAATGACAAGGTTCAAGGCATCAAAAACGCCATTGTCTCCAATCCACAGATAACAATCCAACAGCCAGAAAGGCTCTTTGAGCTAACTTACTTTGCACCTGTAAATGATCAAACTGTCCAAGAGATAATCTCCAGTTTGAGCTCCTCCACATGCAGCCTGGATGTACTACCCACTAGATTTCTAAAGTCTGTTCTGAGCAGTCTGTTACCTTCACTCACACAGATAGTAAACATGTCCCTTGATTCTGGAATATTCCCAAAGGCCCTGAAAACTGCAGTCATCAGGCCCCTGCTAAAAAAGAGCAGTCTGGATGCTACGGTACTTAACAACTATCGTCCCATCTCAAATCTGCCATTTATGGGGAAAGTCCTTGAGAAAGTTGTCTACCTACAGCTTACTAGATTTCTTATAATCAACAACTCATTTGATATGTTTCAGTCCGGCTTTAGACCCCACCACAGCACTGAGACTGCTCTCGTTAAGGTTACAAACGATATCCGGCTGAACACTGACGCAGGCAAAGTCTCAATCCTAATCCTGTTAGATCTAAGTGCTGCCTTTGATACTGTCGACCATGAGATCCTCTTACAGAGACTAGAGGACTGGGTTGGCGTCGCTGGCACCGCCCTAAGTTGGTTTAGGTCTTACCTTGAAGACAGGAAGTACTTTGTGGAGATTGGAAACTGTGTCTCAGATCATATGGCCCTGACCTGTGGAGTACCACAGGGGTCGATCCTGGGACCTCTTCTGTTCAATCTCTACATGCTGCCGTTAGGTCAGTTAATACGCAGAAACAAAGTTTCCTATCATAACTATGCAGACGACACTCAGATCTATGTCTCACTGACTGCAGGAGAACATGGACCAGTGGACTCACTCCTTCACTGTATCCAACAGATCAGTGAGTGGATGCAAAACAACTTCCTTCAGCTAAACGCAGACAAAACTGAAATGATTGTCTTTGGTCCCCAGAAACAAAGAGAGAGCGTCATCTGTCACCTACAGTCTCTCTCCCTAAAACCTTCTAACAAGGTCAGAAATCTAGGGGTAATACTGGACTCAGACTTAAATTTTAATAGCCACATCAAATCAGTAACATCAGCAGCTTTTTACCATCTAAAAAACATTGCCAGGATCAAAAACATAGTGTCTAAAGCAGACTTGGAGATTCTTATCCATGCATTTGTCTCCAGTAGGTTAGACTACTGCAATGGCCTGCTCACAGGTCTGTCCAAACAGGCTGTAAAACAGCTGCAGTACATTCAAAATGCAGCAGCTCGAGTCCTGACTAGAACCAGGAAGTACGACCACATTAGTCCGGTCCTCAGGTCCCTGCACTGGCTTCCTGTGGCTCAGAGAATAGACTTTAAAACAGCTCTGCTTGTGTACAAATCTCTCCATGGCCTCGCACCAAAATATATTAGTGACATGTTAGTCCCATATGAACCAGCCCGGACTCTGAGGAGCACAGGGACTGGACTCCTGTTAGTGCCCAGAGTCAGAACTAAACATGGGGAGGCTGCTTTTCAGATTCATGCTGCTAAAATCTGGAACAATCTTCCTGAAGATGTGAGACAGGCCTCCTCTCTGACAATGTTTAAAACCAGGTTAAAAACGGTGCTGTTTAGCTGTGCATACAACTGAGGGATTTTATATTTTTATCTTTCGTTTTAATGTTCTGTAATTATTTATGATTTTAATGCTATCTTGTTCAGCACTTTGAGTTGCCTTGTGTATGAATTGTGCTATACAAATAAACTTGCCTTGCCTTGCCTTGCCTTGCCTTGCCTTCTCTGTGGTCTATAACCCAGAGCACAGGGCCTTCTCTGTGGTCTATAACCCAGAGCTCAGGGCCTTCTCTGTGGTCTATAACCCAGAGCACAGGGCCTTCTCTGTGGTCTATAACCCAGAGCACAGGGCCTTCTCTGTGGTCTATAACCCAGAGCACAGGGCCTTCTCTGTGGTCTATAACCCAGAGCACAGGGCCTTCTCTGTGGTCTATAACCCAGAGCACAGGGCCTTCTCTGTGGTCTATAACCCAGAGCACAGGGCCTTCTCTGTGGTCTATAACCCAGAGCACAGGGCCTTCTCTGTGGTCTATAACCCAGAGCACAGGGCCTTCTCTGTGGTCTATAACCCAGAGCTCAGGGCCTTCTCTGTGGTATATAACCCAGAGCACAGGGCCTTCTCTGTGGTCTATAACCCAGAGCACAGGGCCTTCTCTGTGGTCTATAACCCAGAGCACAGGGCCTTCTCTGTGGTCTATAACCCAGAGCACAGGGCCTTCTCTGTGGTCTATAACCCAGAGCACAGGGCCTTCTCTGTGGTCTATAACCCAGAGCACAGGGCCTTCTCGGTGGTCTAACCCGGCATAAATGAAGTGTATTATTATTATTTGTCTGACTTTACGGCTATGTTTTTTGTGATGGAAAAACAGATAAAAACACAGAGTAATCCTGCTCTGGGTCAGAGTGAGGTGTGAGCGTCCAGAGCAGAGTTCAGAGAGTCTGAGCCACATGTTTCATTCATTCATTAACATTTATTAACCACATCAGTGATTAACCAGCGACAACCTGAGGCTACAATACAGTTTCCCTCTGACTCAGGGCGTCCTCAGGGGCCGGTGCTGGGGCCGGTGCTGGGGCCGGTGCTGGGGCCGGTGCTGGGGTTGGTGCTGGGGCCGGTGGTGGGGCCGGTGGTGGGGCCGGTGGTGGGGCCGGTGCTGGGGCCGGTGGTGGGGTTGGTGCTGAGGCCGGTGGTGGGGTTGGTGCTGGGGCCGGTGGTGGGGTTGGTGGTGGGGCCGGTGCTGGGGCCGGTGCTGGGGCCGGTGCTGGGGCCGGTGCTGGGGCCGGTGGTGGGGCCGGTGCTGGGGCCGGTGCTTGGGCCGGTGGTGGGGTTGGTGCTGGGGCCGGTGCTGGGGCCGGTGCTGGGGCCGGTGCTGGGGCCGGTGCTGAGGCCGGTGCTGGGGCCGGTAATGGGGCCGGTGCTGGGGCCGGTGCTGGGGCCGGTGCTGGGGCCGGTGCTGGGGCCGGTGCTGGGGTTGGTGCTGGGGCCGGTGCTGGGGCCGGTGCTGGGGCCAGTGCTGGGGCCGGTGCTGGGGCCGGTGCTGGGGCCGGTGCTGGGGCCGGTGCTGGGGCCGGTGCTGGGGCCGGTGCTGGGGCCGGTGCTGAGGCCGGTGCTGGGGCCGGTAATGGGGCCGGTGCTGGGGCCGGTGCTGGGGCCGGTGCTGGGGCCGGTGCTGGGGCCGGTGCTGGGGTTGGTGCTGGGGCCGGTGCTGGGGCCGGTGCTGGGGCCAGTGCTGGGGCCGGTGCTGGGGCCGGTGCTGGGGCCGGTGCTGGGGCCGGTGCTGGGGCCGGTGCTGGGGCCAGTGCTGGGGTTGGTGCTGGGGCCGGTGCTGGGGCCGGTGCTGGGGCCGGTGCTGGGGCCGGTGCTGGGGCCGGTGCTGGGGCCGGTGCTGGGGCCGGTGCTGGGGCCGGTGCTGGGGCTGGTGCTGGGGCCGGTAATGGGGCCAGTGCTGGGGCCGGTGGTGGGGCCGGTTCACTTTCAACATGTCCTCTACTGTTACCTACTCTTCAGGTTCACTGCCCAAACATTTATATTTCATATTCTTCAAAATATGGACTGAACTTAAAGTCAGGAAAGAGTTTCAGTAAATCTCTAAAAGTATCTATAATTTTAAACATTTAGTGTAATTGATCTTATTTGGACACAAAAGGGACCATCTCACACAGATACGAGGTGTTTTGTGTTGTTCCTTCGGTTTGGTTTCATATTTAATGCGCATGAACAAAGTTGTTTTATTTCTTACAATAAAAATCATCAGTTTCATACAGCGCTTTTTTGGACACTCAGACACAGTAATAAAATACTATTGTAGCCACAGCTGCCCTGGGGCACACTGACAGGAGCGAGGCAACCAGTCTGTGCCATCGGCCCCTCCCACCACCACTAATCTTTTTATTTTTTAATTTAACCTTTATTTAACAAGGAAAAGTCCTGGACAAAAGTTACATACATATTATAAAATAATTCATCAAATTCACACACACACCAGACTCATTCTAATGTGGGGGAAGTGTCTTGCCTAAGGACACAACCACAGTTTGGCACTTTACACCCAATGATAGAATAATAATAATAATAATAATAATAATAATAATAATAAGATTTGATTTAATATTTGTACGAACAGTGTGAGTCCAGCTGTGACTGAAACAAAACCGGACAAAAAGCAATGGATTTGTATTGTAGAGTTTAATAAAGTTATTGTTTATTTTATCCAAGGTTCAATATTTATGACACTATAAATGTTGTGATTGTTTTCTTGATAAAATAATCTTTAAAACGATGTATGACATGTTTGCGCAGACTCTCAGTGGGGGCTGCACTGACGTACTTTGATGTCCACTAGGGGGCCACACAACAATTATTTATGGGCCACAAATGGCTCGGGGGCCACGTGTTTGAGACCACGGCTCTAAAACAATGCTCTAAAACTAATCCTGTATTCTGTATCCTGCAGTCCCGCCCTCGGCCCCTTTAGTAATGTCACTGAAAACATGATAAAGGGGCAGGTTTTACTGAGAAAACAGATGAAGTTAGCGATCTACGGATTTGTTTTTGTTTTAAATTACAGATGAATCAGAAGGAAACAGGCGAGACAGTAAGAACAGCAGTGACCAGAGTGGGACGTCCTCTTCTCTCACTCTAAAGAATCCACTTCAGCAGTAGTAGTTTATTATCTGTTATCTGCCAATATGTGCGTTAGATCTCAGGTCGCATGTTCTCAAAGATCGTTCATACATTTTACAAGAAGAAAAAACTAAAACTAAAATGTGTCTATTAAAAATTTTAGGGCAAAATATTACCCGACCGAAAGGGGTTCAGGCTGAATTGGAGACTTATGCTGCCGGAGCCCTTTAAACTTGGTTCTGTAACTAAACCTCGGGATCAGACCGATGCCGCCGTGGATTTGGACCAATGCACAGCTGTTAATATCACACGGCGTGGAACAGGAACAGGGCATACTCAGACCCACCCCCCATGGTCCCAGGCATGCACCCCCCCTCCCCCCCCAAAAACACCCCTCCCCCCTCCCTCTACCTGTTAAACATTACACACGTCCACAAGATGTTATCCTGGAGCTGGCGGCGCGTGTTCGAGGTCAGAGAGGCTTCAGGAAACCTTCATTTCATCAGCAGCTTTTACATACGTTTCACTTTTGTAAGTAAAATGTTCTTTTATGTGTGACGGAGAGAAGGGTGAGGGCTCTCCTGCGGGGCATCCTGAGTAACTCCACTACATAAGATACGATAATGTACTTTATTCTTGCCACAGTGAGGCAATTTCAATGTCATTTTTGCACATTACAGCAGAAAAACGAAGGATATAAGACTTAGATTCACTCCCATCTCTGTGTGGAGTTACAGACAAGTGCCCAAAAATAACAATTGTAAACGCTTTGTGACTCTGGTCTGTGAAAAGCGCTAAATAAATAAAAATTACTAACTTACTTACTTACTAGATTGCTCACATCAAACAGGGTCTATTATTTAAGGTCATAGATAATAAAAATGTATTTACAGATGGGTGTGTTGTTCTTTAGCAGCGGAGAATATGAACAGAATAAACATTAGTGATAATAACAGCAAGTGAAGTGACGCTGTGGCACTTACTCACACTTGTTATTGAGAGGGGAAACCGGAGCACCCGGAGGAAACCACAGCACTCGCTAAGAAGAAATCAGATGTTAGAGAAATTTGTCCATGATCATTACCTACATGTACGTCTGGTCTTACCATGTGTAAACTCTGGTCCATGGTCATTTCCTACATGTACGTCTGGTCTTACCATGTGTAAACTCTGGTCCATGATCATTTCCTACATGTACGTCTGGTCTTACCATGTGTAAACTCTGGTCCATGATCATTTCCTACATGTACGTCTGGTCTTACCATGTGTAAACTCTGGTCCATGATCATCTCCTACATGTACGTCTGGTCTTACCATGTGTAAACTCTGGTCCATGATCATTTCCTACATGTACGTCTGGTCTTACCATGTGTAAACTCTGGTCCATGATCATTTCCTACATGTACGTCTGGTCTTACCATGTGTAAACTCTGGTCCATGATCATTTCCTACATGTACGTCTGGTCTTACCATGTGTAAACTCTGGTCCATGATCCTTTCCTACATGTACGTCTGGTCTTACCATGTGTAAACTCTGGTCCATGATCATCTCCTACATGTACGTCTGGTCTTACCATGTGTAAACTCTGGTCCATGATCATTTCCTACATGTACGTCTGGTCTTACCATGTGTAAACTCTGGTCCATGATCATTTCCTACATGTACGTCTGGTCTTACCATGTGTAAACTCTGGTCCATGGTCATTTCCTACATGTACGTCTGGTCTTACCATGTGTAAAATCTGGTCCATGGTCATTTCCTACATGTACGTCTGGTCTTACCATGTGTAAACTCTGGTCCATGATCATTTCCTACATGTACGTCTGGTCTTACCATGTGTAAACTCTGGTCCATGATCATTTCCTACATGTACGTCTGGTCTTACCATGTGTAAACTCTGGTCCATGGTCATTTCCTACATGTACGTCTGGTCTTACCATGTGTAAACTCTGGTCCATGATCATCTCCTACATGTACGTCTGGTCTCACCATGTGTAAACTCTGGTCCATGATCTTCTCCTACATGTACGTCTGGTCTTACCATGTGTAAACTCTGGTCCATGATCTTCTCCTACATGTACGTCTGGTCTTACCATGTGTAAACTCTGGTCCATGATCATTTCCTACATGTACGTCTGGTCTTACCATGTGTAAACTCTGGTCCATGATCATTTCCTACATGTACGTCTGGTCTTACCATGTGTAAACTCTGGTCCATGGTCATTTCCTACATGTACGTCTGGTCTTACCATGTGTAAACTCTGGTCCATGATCATCTCCTACATGTACGTCTGGTCTCACCATGTGTAAACTCTGGTCCATGATCTTCTCCTACATGTACGTCTGGTCTTACCATGTGTAAACTCTGGTCCATGATCATTTCCTACATGTACGTCTGGTCTTACCATGTGTAAACTCTGGTCCATGATCATTTCCTACATGTACGTCTGGTCTTACCATGTGTAAACTCTGGTCCATGATCATTTCCTACATGTACGTCTGGTCTTACCATGTGTAAACTCTGGTCCATGGTCATTTCCTACATGTACGTCTGGTCTTACCATGTGTAAACTCTGGTCCATGATCTTCTCCTACATTGTGCTGAATTTTCTGGTTGTAGTTTGTCGGAGAATGCGAAAGTAAAATAATCTGTTCTGGTTCAATCCAAATATCAAGAAACTGAAGCAAGAGCAAGAGGAATGTTTAGTAAATGTCATTGAAGCAGAGATGTTGTGGCTCTTTTCCCACGGGGTCCGTTAGCGGAGATGGCTAAAGCTAGGCTAAATGCTAAAGCTAGGCTAAATGCTAAAGCTAGGCTAAATGCTAAAGCTAGGCTAATGCTAAATGCCTCACTCACTCGGGCTCATTACATACGTCACAGTAAACTCAGATCCAATCGTTTCAATCTTTAAAGGAGTTAGCCCCTCCCACCTGTTCACGGAGTCAATGCAGCAAATCCAGACCTTAGTACCAAATGAAATGAGTACAGTGGTGCGGTAAGACCAGGCTAGGTCCCAATGAAGGATTCTAACACGGATACAACTTCCTAACGTGATTATGAAGTAAAACCATCCGTCTCTGCGCCGTGTCAGAGTGAAGTCATTACCCGGGGAGCATCAGTCACGTCGGGATTGGCCGAGTCTCCGTCCTCCATCACACGCCGCCATTTCCATTTGTTTACTTAGAGCTTAAGACAGAATAACTCACGGCTGCGGCTGAAGCTCGAGGCTGTATTTCATAATATTTACTTTCTCGCTGAAGTCAAGTGTTGTTCAATCCATTTGTGGCCGTCATTTTTTACGGTTATGGTGGAATCATTCTGCAGCCGCCGCTCGGGCGTTTGTAAAAGTGCGCTCTGCGGGTTAACGGAGACGTAAGCAGCGGGAACGATCTGCAAGACAGCGGAAAGAAGCAGGAATCCAATTCTGCTTCTTCTGTTTCGGGGGTGACTCTGCTCCGGTGCGGAAGAGGGATCGATGAAGAGTGGAATGAGGGGGTTTTTGCCAGAACATCACTACTGCAGCCGGGGGGGGGGGGGGGGGGGGGGGGGGGGTACTGTAAAAAGTACTGTAATCACTGTATTGTGTTTTGCTGTAACAGGGTATTATAAGGTAATTTTCTCTCTCTGGTCTCTCTGGTCTCTCTCTGGTCTATCTTTGTCTCTCTCTGGTCTCTCTCTGGTCTCTCTCTGGTCTCTCTTTGTCTCTCTCTGGTCTCTCTCTGGTCTCTCTCTGGTCTCCCTGGTCTCTCTGGTCTCTCTCTGGTCTCTCTTTGGTCTCTCTCTGGTCTCTGTCTGGTCTCTCTCTGGTCTCTGTCTGGTCTCTCTCTGGTCTCTCTCTGGTCTCTCTTTGTCTCTCTCTGGTCTCTCTGGTCTCCCTGGTCTTTCTCTGGTCTCTCTCTGGTCTCTCTGTGGTCTCTCTGTGGTCTCTCTCTGGTCTCTCTGTGGTCTCTCTCTGGTCTCTCTGTGGTCTCTCTGTGGTCTCTCTGTGGTCTCTCTCTGGTCTCTCTCTGGTCTCTCTCTGGTCTCTCTCTGGTCTCTCTCTGGTCTCTCTCTGGTCTCTCTTTGTCTCTCTCTGGTCTCTCTCTGGTCTCTCTGGTCTTTCTCTGGTCTCTCTCTGGTCTCTCTGGTCTTTCTCTGGTCTTTCTCTGGTCTCTCTCTGGTCTCTCTGGTCTTTCTCTGGTCTTTCTCTGGTCTCTCTGTGGTCTCTCTCTGGTCTCTCTCTGGTCTAGAGTCTCGTTCATAATTCATATTAAAACATGGAGCCCCTGAGGTCTCTGATTGGCCAGCTGTGGATCACATGGGCAGATGGTGACCCAGGCAGAGGGGGGGGTTTATGGGAGCGCAGGGAGGGGCAGATATCTGTAGTAAATCTAAACAGTAATACCCCTCCGATAACTCAGCGCGTCTCATAAAGAGCGCACATTAAACCGAGCTGCTCCACAAATCACACACATCTTAAACTTCAGCGTCGCACAAACACAACAGCGGAGCCTCCGCGGGGCCCTGCAGCTGAGGCCAGGGGCCCCGACCAGGGCCCCATCCAGGGCCCCGAGAGGACCAGGGTCTGGATCTAAGCCTTTTGTATGAACATGGTTTTGTTTACGGCCTCTTGGCACTGACTCAAGATCACTTTCATGAACATTTGATGATTCCATTTTAATGCAAAATGATGTGATAAAAGTCTGGACTGAAGGTTTCTGTAAAGATGAAGAGGTTTATGTCAAACACACGGTTCTCTGGTCTCTCTCTGGTCTCTCTCTGGTCTCTCTCTCTGGTCTCTCTCTGGTCTCTCCCTGGTCTCTCTCCGGTCTCTCCCTTGTCTCTCTCTCTGGTCTCTCTCTGGTCTCTCTCTCTGGTCTCTCTCTGGTCTCTCCCTGGTCTCTCTCCGGTCTCTCCCTTGTCTCTCTCTCTGGTCTCTCTCTCTGGTCTCTCTCTGGTCTCTCTCTGGTCTCTCTCTGGTCTCTCTCTCTGGTCTCTCTCTGGTCTCTCTCTCTGGTCTCTCTCTGGTCTCTCTCTCTGGTCTCTCTCTGGTCTCTCTGTGGTCTCTCTCTGGTCTCTCTCTGGTCTCTCTCTGGTCTCTCTCTGGTCTCTCTCTCTGGTCTCTCTCTGGTCTCTCTCTGGTCTCTCTCTGGTCTCTCTCTCTGGTCTCTCTCTGGTCTCTCTCTCTCTCTCGCTGTAGACCCAGGACTGAGGCGGCTCCCAAGCGGAGAGGGGTGCGGCCCTCCAGTCCGGGCTGGGGAAGACTGTACACAAGCCTGGTTCAGGGGTCCTAAAAAGAGAGGACCACAGAGAGACCAGAGAGAGACCAGAAAGAGACCAGAGAGAGACCAGAGAGAGACCAGAAAGAGAGGCCAGAGAGAGACCAGAAAGAGAGGCCAGAGAGAGACCAGAGAGAGACCAGAAAGAGAGGCCAGAGAGAGACCAGAGAGAGACCAGAGAGAGACCAGAAAGAGAGACCAGAGAGAGACCAGAGAGAGACTAGAGAGAGACCAGAGAGAGACCAGAAAGAGAGGCCAGAGAGAGACCAGAGAGAGACCAGAAAGAGAGGCCAGAGAGAGACCAGAGAGAGACCAGAAAGAGAGGCCAGAGAGAGACCAGAGAGAGACCAGAGAGAGACCAGAAAGAGAGACCAGAGAGAGACCAGAGAGAGACTAGAGAGAGACCAGAGAGAGACCAGAAAGAGAGGCCAGAGAGAGACCAGAGAGAGACCAGAAAGAGAGGCCAGAGAGAGACCAGAGAGAGACCAGAAAGAGAGGCCAGAGAGAGACCAGAGAGAGACCAGAGAGAGACCAGAAAGAGAGACCAGAGAGAGACCAGAGAGAGACTAGAGAGAGACCAGAGAGAGACCAGAAAGAGAGACCAGAGAGAGACCAGAGAGAGACTAGAGAGAGACCAGAGAGAGACCAGAAAGAGAGGCCAGAGAGAGACCAGAGAGAGACCAGAGAGAGAGACCAGAAAGAGAGACCAGAGAGAGACCAGAGAGACACCAGAGAGAGACCAGAAAGAGAGACCAGAGAGAGACCAGAGAGAGACTAGAGAGAGAGACCAGAGAGAGACCAGAGAGAGACCAGAGAGAGACTAGAGAGAGACCAGAAAGAGAGGCCAGAGAGACACCAGAGAGAGACCAGAAAGAGAGACCAGAGAGCCCTCCAGTCCGGGCTGGGGAAGACTGTACACAAGCCTGGTTCAGGGGTCCTAAAAAGAGAGGACCACAGAGAGACCAGAGAGAGACCAGAAAGAGACCAGAGAGAGACCAGAGAGAGACCAGAAAGAGAGGCCAGAGAGAGACCAGAAAGAGAGGCCAGAGAGAGACCAGAGAGAGACCAGAAAGAGAGGCCAGAGAGAGACCAGAGAGAGACCAGAGAGAGACCAGAAAGAGAGACCAGAGAGAGACCAGAGAGAGACTAGAGAGAGACCAGAGAGAGACCAGAAAGAGAGGCCAGAGAGAGACCAGAGAGAGACCAGAAAGAGAGGCCAGAGAGAGACCAGAGAGAGACCAGAAAGAGAGACCAGAGAGAGACCAGAGAGAGACTAGAGAGAGACCAGAGAGAGACCAGAAAGAGAGGCCAGAGAGAGACCAGAGAGAGACCAGAGAGAGACCAGAAAGAGAGACCAGAGAGAGACCAGAGAGACACCAGAGAGAGACCAGAAAGAGAGACCAGAGAGAGACCAGAGAGAGACTAGAGAGAGAGACCAGAGAGAGACCAGAGAGAGACCAGAGAGAGACTAGAGAGAGACCAGAAAGAGAGGCCAGAGAGACACCAGAGAGAGACCAGAAAGAGAGACCAGAGAGACACCAGAGAGAGACCAGAAAGAGAGACCAGAGAGAGACCAGAAAGAGAGACCAGAGAGAGACCAGAGAGAGACCAGAGAGAGACTAGAGAGAGACCAGAAAGAGCGGCCAGAGAGAAACCAGAGAGAGACCAGAAAGAGAGACCAGAGAGACACCAGAGAGAGAGACCAGAGAGAGACCAGAGAGAGAATGTGAAAACCTGGATTTGAATTATGTCAGAGTCACATTTCTGATAATTCCACCCTGTGCTCCTCAGAGTCCCAGAAGGAAGAAGAAGAAGAAGAAGAAGAAGCAATACACAGCCGTACACAGCCGCACACAGCCGTACTCAGCCACACACAGCCGTACACAGCCGTACACAGAGCCGTTGCTGGTTGCGCGGCGGCGAGTGTCGACGGCTGAACTATGTGTGACTCCTCTGTGTTCTCTCTCTGGTCTTTTACGACGCGACCATCGCCATAAAACCATCAGTGAGCAGCAGCTGAATATTCATCAGAGCGTTTTGTTTAAAAGCAGCGGTTTGGAGACGGCTCCTGGAGCGAGCTGGAGCTGCACGGTCAGGCCTGCGCTCAGGAGACCCCCCCCAACCCTTCTGTGGAAACTAAACAGGTTCTAACGTGACTTTGTGTTGTGTGTGCAAGCAGGAGGTTTTCATATGGATTTGAACAAAAATGTGTTGATTTTTACGTACAATTAAGAAGTTGGGCTAAAGTGACTCTAAAGAAATCCATCTCTGACACTTGAGACTGAAGCTTGTTCTTTTGGCATCACCGTATTTTTTTGGATTATAAATCGCTCCAGCTGAAAATCCAAAATAAAGAAGGAACAAAACATATGTCGCAATAGAAAATAAGTCGCATTTTTTGGGAAATGTGTTTGAAAATATAAAATTAGCAAAGCGATAAAGAGGATTAATGTTGTGCCCATAATATGTTTTATATTTTTCTAATGTAAAGTCTGGTATTGTCTGCACTTGTTTATAAATGTGGACGAGAAAGAAAGCTTTAAATGTATTTATTTATTATTTATTTATTTATGTTATTTTTTTATTTTTTTTTATTTTTTTATTTTTTTCATGAAAAAATGTTATTTTTTATTATTATTATTATTATTATTATTTTATTTAGTTATTTATTTTATTTTTATTTTTATTATATTTTATTAATTTATGTATTTGATAGGGACAGAACAAAAATCATTGTCACCCACAGGTAACCTATGTCAAGTACAAAGGGCTCCTAGCTAATGGGTTTTGAGCCTAAACTACATTTACTAATACAAATACAACACAGAAAAACTGGTCAAATCAACCCAAAATCCTGAGCTATTATTTGATATTCTACAGTAAATGAAATGTAAA